CTACAAGAGGAAGCAGCAAGTTCACCAGAAGACCTAGCTAAGGTGCCATGCTGGACCACAGACTTCCATTGTAGATAAAACAGCCTTCTATTAGAAGAAGATGCCATAGAAGTCCTTCATAACTAGAGAGAAGTCAATGCCTAGCTTCAAAGTTTCAAAGCTTCAAAGCACAGGCTCATTCTCTTGTTAAGGGTCAGGGTAGCCGGTGACTCCAAGTTGAAGTCAATGGTCATTCACTGTTCCAAAGTCTTGGGGCCCTTATTACATGTAGTGTGCCTATATTCTTCAAAGGGAACAACAAAGCCTGGATGCCAGCACAATTGTTCAGGGCTTTCTGAATATTTGATGCCCACTGTTGGATACTTCATTGCTGAGAAAGAATATTCCTTTCAAAATATTACTGTTGACTGAGGATGCTCCTGGTCACCCAAGAATCCTAATGGAAATATGAGAAATTAATGGTGCTTTCCTGTCTGATAACATAACATCCATTCTACAGTTCCATGAATTCAGAAATAATTTTTATTTTCAAGCTTTATTATTTAAGAAGTACCCTTCATATGGCTATAATTTCCAGAGAGCGATTTCTCTAATGCTGTGGTGGCAAACCTATGTCAAAGATGTTATTTGCTTTTCTTTTAAGATAAAAGATGTTAATTATGAATTGTTTTTTCTAAACTAAAATCTCAATATTCAGGTTTAATTGCAATGTTGGCTCCTTGAAATAAATAAGTGGGTTTTGGGTTGCAGTTTGGGCACTTATCTCTAAAAGGTTTGCCATCACCACTCTAAAGGATCTAGGAAAAGTAAAATGAAACCTTCTGGAAAGGCTTAACCATTCTAGATGCCATCAAAAATATTCATGATTTATGGTAGGAGATCAAAATATTAACATTAACAAGAAGTTGGCTCATGGATGACTTTGAGAGGTTTGAAATTTCAGTGAAAGAGATAACTGCAGATGTGATAGAAATAATAAGAGGATTAGAAATAGAAGTATAGCCTGAAGACGTGACTGACTTGATACAATCTCATCATACAAGTTCAATAGATGTAGAGTTACTTCTTACGGATGAACTATGGTTTCTTGGAATGAAATCTAACCTGATGAAGATGCTGTGGACATTATTGTAATGACAACACTCTTCAGAATGTTACATAAATGCAGTTGATAAAGCAGTAGCAGCGTTTGGGAGGACAGACAACAATTTTGAAAAAAGTTCTACCTTAAAAATTCTATCATAGGGTATTGCATGCTGTAGAGGAATCTTTCTCATAAGAAAGAGTCAATGAATGGGACAACCTTCATTGTTGTATTAAGATACTGCCACAGCCACCCTATCTTTCAGCAACCATAATTCTGACCAGTCAATGGCCATTCAGTCAAGGCAAGACCTTCCTTCTACCAGCAAAATAAAAACAAACAAACCACCACTGCAACAATGAAAACCATCTGAAAGTTCAGGTGATCATTAGTATTTTTTAGTGATAAAGTATCTTAAAATGAAGGTGTGCACATCACTTTCTTAGATATGTTATTGCACACTCTAATTGAAGGGTTTTGTTTTCATTTGGTTTTTTATTGTGCTGGGGATCAACCTAGAGCTCTACATTGCTAAGCACACATTCTACCGAGTCATATACCCAGATCTATTGCATACTTCATAGACCACTGTTAGTAAACACGTTTCTTTTACATGCAATGGGAACCCACAAGTCACATGACTTGTTTTACTGTGATATTCACTATATTGCAGTGGCCTACAATGGAACTTGAAATGTTTCTGGAGCATGCCTGTATTTCCTTTGCCAGTGTTTCCCAGCAGGCCTTCTCTTGACATGTTATGGAAGATTGTTCTGTGTGTTGCAAAATTCCTAGCATTCCTAGTTCTGAGTCATTGTGGCAGCCATTCCCCATCACACATGTACATGCACACACACACACACACACACACACACACACACACACCTCCAAACACTCTGGAAGAGTGTCAGGTCATGTCACTTGTCTGTACCAATCCTTCAAAGCCTTAAGATCTCACATGAGTGAAAACCACAGTCTTCACTATGGTCCATCTCATCTTACCTCTGTTTCCACCTGCTTTTACTCTCCTTCTTCTTTAAACTATAGCTATACAGATGCTCTGCCAATTGGACAGTGGATCCCCCTGCTTTGGAGCTTTGGAGTTATTTCTTCAGCCCTTTTCTCCTTGTCTCTGAACAGCTCCTTCCTTTATTTCCTCTTGTTTATATTGAAACATCACCTTCCTCCTTAGACCTTTTCTACCTACTTCATTTAGATTTGTGAGTTCACCTCCAGAAGTCTCTTTCTTCATTTCTTTTCATCTTTTCCCTTCTCACCACCTAATATTCTATGTATTTAACTTATTTATTTTATATATTGTCTATTCCCCTAATGAGGATATATGTTCCATGAGGACTGGGATTTTTGTTTGACGTGTTCCCTAACTTATTCTAACACTTCAAAAAAATGTGTAGAACATAATAGTTGTTGACTAATAGAATGAATACAGGAATGACGTATGCATAATAATGAGCTGCATAGTATGTAAATGATGCTAACATAACATGACATGAGAAGATGGTCAACATGATTAATCGCTAGGGAAATGTAAATCAAACCACAGTGAGGATACCACTTTACACTTCCTAAGATGGCTATAAGAAAGACAAACAAAAACAGGATATGGAGAAATTGGAACCTTCATATACTACTGGCAAGAATGTAAAATACTGGGCTGGAGATGTAGCTCAGCAGTGGATGGCTCACTTAGCATGTGTGAGGCCCTGGATTTTGTCCCCAATGCCAATGGAAAAAAGAAAAGGATGTAAAATAGTGCAGCAACTTTTGAAAAGTTGACAGTTCCTCAAAATGTTAAATATAGTTAGTCACTGTATGACCTAGCAATTCTGCTGCTAGGTATATATCCTAAGATAACTGAAATAATTTACCTACAAAAAAATCTCTACTTGAATATTTAGAGCAACAATACTCCTAGTACCAGTAAGTGGAAACAATACAAATGTTCCTCAACTGATGAATGAATGTGTTGTTAAATCCATCTGATCAATATTATTTAGCAATATAAAGGAATGAATCTTGCTGTATGCTACAACATGGATGGCCCTTGAAACCATTACGACAATTTAAAAAATCAATCACATTTATATAAAATATCCAGAAGGGGCAAATCTGCAGAAAGCAGATAAATGGTTGCACCCTTAAGATGGACTTCAGGTGGTAGTGGTGGGGAAGGGGGAATGACTGATAATGTTCCTTTTTGTGGAGACAAAAATATTTTAAAACTCAGCTATTATGATATTATGCAGCTTTATGAACATGCTGAAAACCACTGAATCCTGCACTTCAAATAAGTAAATTTCATGATATGTAAATTGCAGCTCAAAAAGTGTTTTTTAAAAGAGTTGTATAGCTAAAATTAAAAAAATATTTAATTCACTGTACTGGGTCAATTTTATTTTGTATCAACTTTTCTTCTTTCATCTGTGAATTTTTCATAATTTATTATACACCCTGAATTAGTGGCCTAATTCTCAACTCCTTTAATACTCCCAGTATATGATCCATTAAATTATTTTATCAAAGTCAAATTTTCTCTTCTGAATTCTAAGCATCTTAACCAAACTCACTCTAAGTATTCTGTTATTAAATAATGAGATTCACAAAATTAATGCCAGAATTTTGTTGCCAAGTTGATACTTGTTTTATTCAATGACTTCTCAGAACTGGATTTTTCTTCCTAGTTCATTAGTTTCTGTAACACTAGGTTTTCGAAATCCAGTTAAAATCTGTGATTTGTGGCCTGAGAAAAAGAAAAAAAGTTTAGACTTTATATGACAATAATGTTAATATTTATTAAGTTAATATTCAAATTAATTATGCTTACTTTGTACAGAGAACATATCTAAACACCTTACATATGCTAACTCATTTTAATACTCACAATCAATCTGCAAGATGAGTAATTGTCTCCATTTTACTAATGGGGTACAAAAATGTTAAATAACTCAGCTAAGGTCAAGTAGTTACCAAGTGGTGATGCTAAGATCCTAATCCTAGCAGCAGGCTCCCAATTCCTGCCTGGACAAAGGTCATCAGAAGTCACTCGATCAACTCTTTTTCTACTACATTAATTACCCAGTTAGTAAATATTTATAATATCCAAGTTTATGCTAAATATTGATGATACAAAGATAAAATCAAGCTTGGCGTTGTGGCACATGCATGTAATTTCAGCACTCAGGGAGGCTGAGATAGAAGGATCACAAGTTCAGGCACTGCATAGGCAATTTAGCGACTTAGTAAGACCCTGTCTCAAAAATAAAAAAATAAAAGGGAGAGAATTTAGCTCGGTGCAAAGACCCTGGGTTCAATCCTCAGTATCACAATTTTTAAAAATAAATGACAATACAGGGCTCCTGGGATTACCCAGTCATGTGGCTAAATAAAAATTTAAAAAATCCTATAACATGGTAAGCCTGTATCTTAGGGTTCAGAAGTCCAACCAGTGTGAAGCAGATGCATTTAACTTTACTGGGGGAGTTGGAGAAAGACAAGATAAGATGGCACTGAAAGGTTAGCATTTATTCAAAAAAAAAAAAAAAAGAAAGAAGTAACCAATGATATGAAATGAATCTGCAAAGTGGTACAAAAGAACAGTGTTCTGGAATAGCCTGGTCTGAGTGTTGCAAGAAAGAGTTGGCAGAGAAAGTAGAGACAGACTACGAGAGGTCTTACATCTTCGGTGAAGGGGTTTGGAATAAAGAAGAGCAACGAAGGTGGGTCTGTCTGATCCTGTTTGCATTTTGACAAGATCACTGTAAGAACTCTCATAAGGAACAGAGGTACAAGGGAACAATGAAAGCAGGGATTCGAGGTGACAAACTGTTTAATCAACTGATGCAAGAAATATTTTAAAAGAAGCAAATTAAATATCTGTGATTTACTTCTCTTTCAGGTATATAAGCCATATGTGGTCCCAGGAGCATGGTTAGTACCATCTAAAGCAGCATTGCCCAGCAGAAACATACGGAGCTGGTTATAGAATTTTTAATTTTACACTAACTACATTAAGACAATACAAAACACATAAAACTAATTTATTTTATTTCACCTAATATCATTTGGATGTAACAGCAATATAAAAATACTAACAAAATATTTTGCATTGTTTTTTTCAAACCATCTTTGAAATCCAATGTGAACATTACACCTAAATAATTCTCAATCGGGATGCTAAATTTTCCTATAAACTATTTGATTTACATTTAGGTTTTATAAATTTTGCAACTGAAAATAGACTCCTATATCCAATTTGTTCCAAACAAACTTAAATGTTGCCTAAGACTTTAATCAAGTGTCAAGCTTTAAATTGAAATTGAAAATTACAAATTAAAAAAATTAAAAGTTCAGTTCCTGGTTGTACCTGCAATATTTCAAATACTTAACATGGTTAGTGGATACTATTTTGGACAATATAGAATGTGCTATTTCTCAACGAAGGAATTATGAATTGCCAAACTCTCTTGGTTACCTTATAATAAGTACCCACTAAACATGTCAATTATTTTCAAGGAGCAAAGGATTTTAAAAGTAGTGAGTCACTAATTCTAGAACAAATGCATATAAAACAGTACATAGGAACAGAAGGAATTCTTCATAAGTCCAGAAGGGATAAATATCCAACATATTACTGGTTTTGGCTCAATTATTTAAAAGAACATTGTTCTTTAGATCATTTCTTTGTCCAGCTAATAGAGATGGAAATAGTGATTAAAAAGAGTCACTCTTTGTCATTAAAACACAAAAAGCAAGTCCCATCATAGAACTTGAGTAATAAAATAAGGTTGGCTTGGACTAGATCTCCTTTTTAAAAAAGTCTTATTATAAAAACATCTGAAAATGATAAGTACAATTTTTAAATCACCTTTTAAGTGCATAGCTGAGTTAGGAAGAACATAAGGTAAACTGTTAGATGACAAAAGTAAGTGAGACAGTGAAGAAACAGAGAATCAATAATCCAAAACTTGAAGATTCTAGTGGCTATAGAGAAGGCAAGCCCAGGCACCTTTGTTAACATGCTGTCTCCCAACAGATTCTCCCCTTCTGCTCTACCAGTAGGCATTTTAGCTGAGTGCATGACACCTATCCAAGGCATGTCCCAGCCCACCTCACAGCTGTGTGACTAGATCCTGGCCAATGTATGATGAGCAGAGGTGAAGAATGCAACTTCTGGATCATAGTCTTTCCTGTTCCCCATGAGCTGGAAGGCAAAAACACTGGACCATTCTAACAAGGATATTACTTCACATTGGCAGACAACTCAATTAGGAGTCTGGGCTTTCAAATCCCCTGAGCAGCACCATCAACTCTGGACAGCTCCTTGGACTTGGACTACAATATGAAAAAGAAATAAATGATCTTATTTAAGGCACTGTGTTTGGAATTTCTTAATTATGCAGCTTTGCTTCCTTTGTAATTTAAGCCATGCAAGATCAGAGAGTCCCCTACACAACTGCAGAAACAAAGGTCTGCACTAGGAGTCAGCAAACTTTTTCTATAAAGACCAGAAGATAATGATTACCCCAGGCTTTGTAGGTTGTACAGTCTCTGTCCCAACTACTCAACTCCACCACTGCAGCACAGGAGCATCGTAGAGAATATGGAAACAAAGGGGCCTAGTTGTGTTCTTAAAAAAACTTTTTTTGCTTGTAATCCTAGCACTTGGGAGACTAGGGCAGGAGTAATATCACAAGTCTGATGCCGAGATGGGCTACATAGTGAGGTCAACACCAGCCAAACTACATAGAAAGACCTGTCTCAAAAAACAACAAGCAAAGCCAAACTTAAAAAAACAGGCTGGGATAGTGTGACTCGTAGGCCAGTGTGTCAACTCCCTGACAGTATCATTACCAAAGAAAATCATATCTCACAAAGAAAAGTTGCCTGTTGTAGCTTTGGCTGTCAGAAGGGGAAGATAACTACACTCTGAGAACTCATTACTTTCAGCTGGCTCTTATAAGGAACTGCAGAAGGAATTCATATCACATCTATTTCCCAACAGCCCTCAGAGTGAGTTTTATTACAACATATCCCTGAGTCTATATGGCTTTCAGGTGCCTGATAGAAACAGATGCAAATTCTCTCTGGAGAAACATGTTTTAGCTTCAAAGAATTCTGCAAGACAAATTCCCATCAAAGATGAGTTCACAAACAATTATCACAAAGGAGGAAAGAGTAGCTAACCTGAAAAATGTCAGAAAAAAATCAGACCCTTAATCACTTTAAATATTGGAATTATCAATGACATATATGAGTGTTGAATATGCTTTTTAAAAGTGTAAATAAACAAAAAGGGATTATCAAAAAGTGTCAAGGCACTTTCTCTTTTCTCTCTCACTCTTTCTGTCTCTGTCTCTGTTTCCCTTTATCTCACTTTCTTCCTTCCTTTTCTTTTCTGTGGTAGTTCTGAGGACTGAACTTAGGGCCCTGCCAACGTCTTTCTAATTTTTTTTTGAGACAGTATATCTCTAAGTTATTAAGTTGCCCAAGCTGGGCTCAAATTCAATCCTATCAGGTTAATAAAACACATTATAACAAAACTCACTCTGAGGGCTGTTGGGAGACAGATTGGATATGAAAAAAGTTTTCAAAAGATGGCCCAAAACCACATAGACAATGAGAACAGAAAAAGAGCAAAAGGTAACTGATTTCGAAGATCAAAAAAAAGTGAAATTCTAGGCCTAAGAACAAAGCTATCTGTGTTTCTGCAAATAGAGATAAAGGTAGGACCAAAAATAGAATTCATAATAAGCTTAAGAAGGTGAAAAGGGTTGCTTCAAAATGGGAAGACACTACTGCCTTTGTAACAAATCTTATAGAAATATTTCAAATGATATTTGTGCAACTTTAATGAAAAAGTAAACTTTAAAAATTTTTAACTTTTTAAATTAACTTTGAGTTTTTCAAAAGGGAATAAATTCTTATTTTCAAAAGAGTAATAAACTCACTTAACTAATATCAACTTGGGAGCAAGTATTTCTATAAAATATATTAAATATGTGTAATATATTATAGAATAAAGATGATGACTTTCAATTATATAATTTAAATTTATTTATATTAAAATATCTTAATTATATGTTATAAGCATTATTATTAACACATTATTATAGCACATTATAAGCACAATGTCAAGAATCTAAAAGTGGTAGTTTTAAAAAACTTCTTAATAAACTTTAAAAAGATAAAATCATTACACCTAAAAAACTTAATTCAAGGGGCCGGGGATTTAGCTCAGCGGTTTGGTGGCCTGCCTTGTAAGCACAAGGACCCGAATTCAATCCCCGGTACCAGAAAAAAAAAAAAACAACTTAATTCAGAAGGTTAAGATAGTTAATTTCCACTTTCAAAGCAATATCTATAAAGATGTACAATCAGTTAACATGAGATTATCAGAGTTTATCATTCATGTTGTTTATATAAGTCTTCATATCTATCTACAAAGGACAAAATTGCAGAAGAAATGGAACAAAATGTTCATTGGTCATAGTGACAACTTTTTTTCTGCCTTCTTAATCTGTAAGACATTACTGGATCTACAAACCAAATCAAAGTGAAAACACTATCTGGGCCAGGGATTTAGCTCAGTGGTTCTGGCGCCTGCCTCACAAGCACAAGGACCGGAGTTCAATCCCTTGTAAAAAAAAAAAAAAAAAAGAAAAGAAAAGAAAAGAAAACACTATCCACCAAAAAGAATTCATGAAACTGATACTCAAGAGTTTGACACAAATCGAAATTGGAGTTTGTGGAGTTTGTGTCTTAATACCATTATATGACTTTGGCCAAATTGCTTAGCTTCTCTCATCTGTAAAGGGGAAAGTACTAACCACTCACTTTAGAGTCCGAAAAGAATAAAGTAATATGTGTGAAGTTTTATTTCAGTCCTGCTCCTCTGATGAGGATGAGTCTGAACCTAGTCACCTGAGCCTTTTAAAAACACTTTCCTCACAGTTAAGATGTTTTAATGATATACTAAATAGAAAAGACTTTTACAAACTGTAAAATTTAAAATGACTTATTCTCTTTTCTCTTCCTATTGGGTTCTTATTTATTCCCAGAAAATGTTAAAAGTCACATATTTTTACTACATAAAACATTAGAACATCTATACAACAAATACAAAACAAAGACAAGAAATCAAGATGGCGGAATGGTGAGAGGCTGCAAAATTGTCCTTTCTGAGATTGAGAATCTAGATACTGGAAAATAACAACTTGAGGGAGAAAGAAAGAGAAGCAGATTTTTGGGAATTGGGAAGGAATATACTGGAAAATTAAAAACTACAGAGAAGTTTGAGAGAGATGGCAATACATAGAAGGAAAATGAAACAACCTGGATCCTCTCCCTGGCTGCTGGTTCTCTGCTCAAGGGGAGGGGAGTCTGGCTCTGCAGAAGCAAGGTGAGTGCTTGGGGCTCCAGGAAGAAATGATAGCAGGAGACTGGGCCAGTGATGTGGGTTCCAGGGAGAGCCCACATTTTTTGTGATCTTCAGGGACAGCATGGGGTTTTCTCCAAAAGGGATTCCCTCCATACAGTAGACAACAGCTGAATAGGGATACCAGCACAGGTGCCCACCAAATTGCAGGAGAGTGCTTGGTTGGGTGCAATTCCAGGAAGGGGCTGATTGCTTTAACTGTGACTCAGAACAGTTGGGTTCACTGCAGCCTTCCCAGTGTTCCCCTCCCACAGTGACTGGGTGAGAACCATGGGAGATAGAGATCTGCTATAAAGAGACGTTATGAGGGGTTTGAGCATGGGCCAGGAAGGCAATAAGCCCCATCCCCAGCAGTGGGAGGTCAGGGCAAGCTTGAGTTGCAATGGGTCTGAAAGTGCCAGAATTGAGGAGTACTTGAGCCCTCGTCCTTCTACCTGCATTCAGCACATATCTGGGGTATGACTGCCTTCCTTACCTAGCAGCACAAGTGGGGACAAGTCTCAGCCTGGACATTGCCACAGCCTAGGGTAAGCCGAGGGAACTGGGGAATGAGGCAAAGAAAATCATGCAATGCTTCACTCCAAAACTGCTGATCCAGAAAAAAAGAAAAAAAAAACTACCATTCAAAAATACAAAGGAAGTTTTTGGGGTTTTGGACTCTTTTCTTTTTATTTACTTTTCTCTTTCTTCTTCACTGGTTTTGGAGTCTGAGGAATTTTCCATTTTTATTCCCTATGTTTGATGTTTTCTTCCTTTCTATTTTCCACTTTTTAATTTTTTAATTATTTTATTGTTTCATTTTTTAATTTTATTGTACATGTTTGCAGTTCAATTAACATACAATCATCTTGGGGAGTGGCTAATCTACATATTACAGCATGTTTACCCTTCCCTCATTCTCCCTCTTCCTCTAGTTCTCCTATACTATTTTTCATTCCTCTTGAAATTATTTGTCTGAGCTCATATTGAATGACAACCACATAATTTTTACATTAATTATATATTTCCACTGAGGTTATTAGATTCCTCTATAGCATATGTTTATTCTTATTTTCCCTTCCCTTCCTGCTTACCCCTCAACCTTGTTCACTTGGACCACTTCTTTAAGAGATCCATGTCCTTGTCCCTTTTTTTAAAATTGAATTTATTGGTACATTCTGGGTAGACAGTACAGTTACATTCATTGCTGGGATCTTGTACCTTTACATGATAGGTCTTGGTTCTCATTTTTCTGCTTGTCCCCACCCTCCCTTTTTATTCATCCTTTATCATTTTCTTTTCACTTTGCCTCTCTCAAATGAGAGATACCATATGGTTTTTAAGCTTGTAAGTCTGGTTTATTTCACTCAACACTATATTTTCCAGATGCTTCCATTTCTCTATGAAAGTCTCAAATCTCTCATTCTTTATAGCTGAGTAGTATTTTATTATATATAGATACCACGTTTTAGTTACTTTTCTCTCATTGCTGAGACAAAATACTTGACACCCAAAGTCAAATAGGGGAAAGGTTTATGTAGCTCACAATTCTTAGAAGTAGGGTGGCCGAGGGGCAAACATTCATGGCAGATAGATGGTAGCAAGCCACACAAGGGACTTTATCAGCATCTTTCTGCCCCTTTTATCCCATCCAACTACCAGGATTTTATCCTCTAGAAGGTTTAATGTATCTGTTTTAATGTTTAGATCTTTGATCCATTTTTACTTTACTTTAGGAAATCATGAGAGATAAGGGTCCAGTTTCAATCTTCTGCAAACAGATAACCAGTTTTCCCACCAACACTTGTTGAATAGGCTATCTTTCCTCCAATATATGCTTTTAGTCCTTTCGTCAAAGATCAATAGTTGAATATATCTGGGGAGGTTTCTGTATC